TCAAAGCTATTATTAGGAGTCAACTGTACCATCAAGTGCACCCAGGGCTCGTTCTGCATCTTTCCGCGTCATGAACGCTACAAAGGCTCTGTTAGAGGTCCTGTTCCGCTCCTCGTCAGTGCGGGGCCACATAATCTTCACACTGGCTAGGGGACCATACTTACCAAACTCTTTGCACAGCAACTCCTCATTCATCTGAAATATTATAAAACAGCCTGATAGTGAGAAAGGTTCACTTGTGCTGCCCTGAGGCAAACAAAGTCAGTGCTCATTTACCTTTGGGCTAATGCAGCTGATGTAGAGGTTAGTAGTGGTTGGCACTGTTAGGTCATCATATAATGCTGTGGGGAAAAAAATAAGCTTAACTTGATTTAGAGGATAGCAACATTTTCCACTAGTTAAACATTGATATCGAAGAGGGACCCTTACTTGATCGACCTGATAATGGTATATCCAGATCGCCATATCCTCCTCCTACACCTCCTACACTTCCTCCTCCTGTGACAGGGTCACTTTTCTTCCTTTTATGCCTTTCCTCACGCTCTTCTTGTATTCTGCATTTTTTTAAGGATATAAAAACAGGCTTACAAATGCAAATAAAATATATAAAAAGATATCAGGTTGATTTGCAAAAACACTTACAGCTTAAGTTCTTCTTTGAAGAGTTCGAGATTACTCTTCTTCTTTTCATCTGTCTTTCTTTTAAACGTCTGGGGATCAAACAAGCGACCATTAGAACCAACTGATTTGTACAACTGTACAGCCCGAAGTAAGAGTAAACAGCATTTAAAGATCAGTGTAAATATTGTGTTAGCATTTATACTGATTTCAGTAATTATGCCATCACGTAGACATGAAAATACATCTTACAGCCTTTCTGCTTTCAGTGGATGATACTGGGGAGACATGCTGGGACACAGGGACAAACTTTGTCGGAGGTCGATAAAGCTTATTTTTCTTGACCTCTGCTGCTTCCTCCTCTGAAAAAAGGACAGAAATTCATGAACCTGTCAACTCAACAATTCAAAAGTGTTAAAACTGTTATTTAGGCAAAAGTAATTTATATCAGAAAAAAGAGGAGGCTCTGCTATTGCCCCGTTCTGTCTGAGCAGCTTCCACGACAGACTGATAAGAATTTGCTTTCGGAGTTAACATTTAGATTAAAAGTGCAGTCTTTATATGTAAGAGTAGGTTTAAAAACTGCTCAGTGTTGAAAGAGCCTTATTCACATCAGTGTGATAATGCAGAGCCATATATTGGGTTTTAAAGTGGGACCTATAAGTCAGCATGATTTAATAAAATCTTTTTAGTTCTCCTTTTTTCTCATTTTAGAAACGAATAACTTGTTCAAAGAGGAACAGAAATGAGAAGCTGCATCATATTATCATGCTAAACTGAAAGTGATGAAATCTTAGCTGCTGACCTTTAGTTGCATTCACGATACCACCGCGGACAAAAGTTTTCACTCCGCTTTTCTGGCTGGTCTCAAAAGAGGCCAAGAATTCCTCAAAAACCTCTGCTGCCTTTTCTTCCTCCTAACCAGTCAAACAGAGACATGCAGAGCATAAGGTTATGAGTTCTATCCCTGAGGTCCTTAATTCTAAATTTTGTTTGATGATTAATAATATACATGCACACATATTTATTGAAAAAGCACTAAATAATATCTAATATTACATTTTCCCCAACCTCTTTACCTTTTTCTTAATCTTTTCTTGTTCCTTCCTTGTTTTGATCACAGTTTTTCCCTTTTTATCCGCCATTCTCAAACTGCAAAACAAAGAAACAGATTTATAAAATAAAAAGGAAAGATTACAAACAAACTGCTAATTCTCATTAGGTGATTACACACACAAACATATACATATATAAATAACTAAAAGAAGATGACAGTGTCCCTTTCTAAAAAAATCTGACTATTTACCTGAATAAATCATGGTTTTGATTATGTTTACATGAGTTGCTCACAGATTATAGTATTCATATTCTTGTTAAAATGTTTAAGAACATAGTCCAATTATGACATTGATAATAATAATAATAATAAACTTTATCTATATAGCAGTTTTTAAAAACAAAGCTTACAAAGATAAATATATGAGAAATAATCAGCTGGATGCCATGTGACAAGGAGCCCAGACAACCACGTTTAGGTGGTCAGAAACAAGGTAGTGTTCAAATTAAAGAGCTACTTCATACACATAAAAACAGTAATATGACAATAAAAATAAACAAGTAAAATAAAAGGTGAAGGGAAAACAATGCGAGCACAGTTAAAACACGACATCACATGAAAGCAAGACTATAAAAATGGATTTTAAGAAGCGATTTAAAAGAGATCACTGACTCTTCAAGCCTATCTCCTCAGGTCAGTTAGGGCAAGCTGCCTTTGATGCCACACTGTTTGGAGGCAGCGGCCACACTGTTGAGCTTGCTGTCTCTCCCTCAGGTAGGCCGTTCCAAAAAAGAGCAGCCCAGATCACAAAAGCAATGTTATACTATGAAAATTCCAATAGGATGTTCTAATGGGTTAGGGTTAGTCTGAATAATGGGACTCAGAATGCAAATACTGCACATGTCTTAATTTGCTTATTGTTTATGATTGTGGGTAGCCGTGGCTCAGGTATAGCTCAGTTAGAGTCGGTGGTGCCATCGCTGCCCAAGGCAAGACACGAAACCCCAAATTGCCCCTGATAGCTGTGCCAATGTGATGTATGACAGCGAAAGTGCTGCACACATGCACAATGTGAGTGTGTGAAGGGCAAATATGCACCGTCAAGCATGGAGTGATCATCAAGACTAGAAAAGCACTGCATGAATACAGTCCATCTGTCCTGAGTGTGACCTTATCCTGGGTAAGGTCATCAGGAAAACAATGCTGCTTACGTGGCAGCGTCTTCTTCTTACTAGTGTTTTTAATCAGGTTTATATTGCAATAATGGAGTCCATGAAAGGTCTGGCATGCTTTATGTTGTGTGCAGACAGTGCATCTCTCTCAGGGTCAGTGGAGAGTCACCTCCCTGCTCCTGGGGAGGAGGGGGGGCAGGAGGAGTCTGTGTCTGCAGGTTGAGTCACTTCAGGTTATTTGGCTCGTGCAGCATCACTTCCTTCACACGACCAGATTGTAAATACAGAGAAACTTTGCACGAAGCTAAAGTGTTTTTCTTTACCCAACAAACAGCTGCTCAGATAAATATGGAAATGGGAATAACGAGCATTAGCTACACTGATGTCACTCCACCACATCATGTAGCTGCTTTAACCAAACAAGAAGATTGAACATATATTCTGGGTGCTGTTTCAGTCCATGTGTAGCTCAGTGTTTAATAATACTAAAAAAAGGCCTGGACTTCACTCTGCTGCTACCCCTTCACTTAGCTAACGTTAGCTTTAGCTAGCTGTCGCTGGACGCCCCCCTCCAGTTAGCAGGTAAGCTAGCGTTAGCCTCTACATGAGTAATACTCACCAACAACCGTTAATTCTCCCCCATTCGTCATTCACGACCATAACAATACCACACACACACAAGCACCCACCTCCATCTTCATCCGCACCAGCTGCTAACTCTGGAGAGACAAGCTAACACAGCTGAGTCTGACAGTGTGTGTCGCCACAAAAACCAACCGAGCGACCGCACAGGACATTGTTGTTCAAAAAAAGCACACTGCATGCACATAGCTCCGAAACCTGTGGCTAGGACGGTAACTTACAATGTGTGTCATGCTACTGCTTCACCATTTTGGCTGCGACGACGATATGTTTGTATCACAACACGCTATATCTGCCAGGAGGCGTGATGTCCGACTGGAGATCCGGGAGAGAGGACGCCTCCTTCAGCGACGAGGCTGCTTCACTGCCCACATCCACAACCAGGAGTCTGTAGTTTTAAATGAGATGATTGGTTTCTAGTCTGGGTACATGCTTCATGTGCACACTGCTTCCTCCTTTATATAAGTGATTGATTTTTATTATTGTGTCATCATGCACATTATTTGTACAGGCCAGTGGTGGATGTAGCAAAATCGGGGGGCCGTAAGGGGGCCACAATTTACAAAGGTGGGGGGGGGGGGGGTTAGACAAGATAAGATAAGACATAGTGCAACATATTGTCACGTTGTTGTGTTTGTATTATGTTTGTGTCTTGGATTGCTTTGTTTGTTTGTGATTATTTGTTTTGTGTGGGACCCCTCCAAAACGAGTCGGAGCAACTCATCCCATTTGTTATTCCCATTTGAATAAATACATTTCACAACATTGAGACAAGTGTCTGGAAGTATAGAATAGAGAGTAAGAGGTGGGACATTGGGGCCGGGATGCTTTAGCTAACTAGAGGGACACTTGCAGTACCTGGGCTGACTGGTGGTGTCCGGGTCAACCAGACGACCTGTGGGGCAGTTGAGGTGCTTCAGCTGACCAAAGAGACATCTGGGCAACTTTACTGTCCCTCTGGCGTCAAACAAGTTTGAAACCTGAGCATTTTTGTAAGGTCATACCATCATTGTTTTTCAATCTATCTTTACTTTTATTATGTACACAGTTTACTATTATATTTTTTAATCTGGGATATTACTATCTGATGCATTATGTGACACCCCAGGATACTTAACATTCAAATACAAGGGTCTTCTTATACAGTTTTTATCATAGTGATAAATCACTGTCAGTAGCCAGCCCCTGGCCTCCAGGCATTAGAACTAAATTATGTATTTTTAATGAAGGGCCGTTTCCCCCTGTGTGTTGAACTGAGGGGCCCTCCTGGGTTTTAGGTGTTAGCAGGTGCAGGAAGGGTAAAAGCCTAAAATGGCCACCAAACCCTGTTCAGCATCATCATCATCACCACCACCACCATCATCATCAACATCACCAGCAGCAGCAGCATCACCACCTCAGAAGCCCATCCCCTAGCGTCCGTCCCGGTGAATGCGCCCTGGCCAATGTGCGCATGGGCGGAGAGACTGCCGCTGTGCGCTGTTATTATTGTAAGAGTAATTTCTTTTTTACGAAAATGGCGTCTAGTCAGGGGGGTGTGGGAGCTGCCGCGGCTCTACAGAGCCTCCAGCACTCCGGTGGACCTCACTGGAGCCCGGGAATCAGCCACTTTCAGCAGCATCACCACAACCACCAGCAGCACCAGCAGCAGCAGCAGCAGCAGCACCACACGGCTCGCAGCCTGGACCGGGCTCTGGATGATGCCGTGTGCTCGGGGATACTGAACCTGAGCGGTAGGAAGCTGAGGGAGTACCCGGGCATGAGCTACGATTTGACGGATACAACACAAGCAGGTGGGTCGCTGCGCAAAAGAGACAGAGCCAGAGCCAGAACGCGCTGCTGGGCATACGCGCTGGATTCAGGCATTGTGCACGGTTGTGTCTGCTTTATTCTGGACAGGGGCGCATCAACGTGTGTAGGTGACAATCTTTAAAGGGACATTCGGGGACACCGAGGTGGCCTCTGTACTCGTAATTACACTGTCCACCCTGGCCTCATATATCACACCTTCTGCTCTGCACTAAAGGGGCTCAGTTGTTGTTGTGTGGTTGTTTTGGTGGAAGCCAGTCTCAACACCCCCTGAGACACATGAATGAGACGGCAGGCGCACCCTAGTCACGCGCTGTGCAGCGGTTCGCACGCCGAGCTGCTGCTTGATTTCGGCACCAGAAGCAGAATGTGACTGAACCGAGGGGCCAGGTGTAAAAACGCACGCTCTCTGAACATGAGTCGCAGTGAGCGTGTGATGCACGTACATGCGATCCTTTCATTTTCGCCAAAAGCAGACAAAAGATGCAGGGTACTTGCAGCCTCGCCCCCCTGCCTGCCTGCCTGGGTGCAATATAATCTGACAGAGAGGAGGAAGACACTGAATCTGGTTTTGGTTTCATATGATGGCTGATAGAAATGTATATTCTGATCTTTGCTCATGCATTTTTATTCAGTTTTATTCAGAAGGTGATTGGAATAATCAACTATCAATCCTGCTGCTCCATTAGCCTGCTCAGTCAGTAGGTCAGTATTAGACTCACGTTTTCTGAAGGCTGTGCCAGACCATACATACTAATTTACAGTGAGCATGTAGAAAAGCCTTTTTACCACTTTTATACTCCAAAATATCAAAGATAAACCACTCTACTGGTAAGACTTTGCTTCAGTTTCCTAGATTTCGTGGATGTGTTCATATTTGTCTTTATATTCTTGGTACATCGAGTGAGTATTTCCATTAACCATCAGTGGGACCTCCTCCATCATTATCGCAGACTTCCAGCAGATGCTCTATCTCAGAATCACTGTCTCCTCCTCTGAGGTGTCCGCTTACCATATGGTGTTACTCTGGCAAGCCGCTGTTTTTTTGGCGAGCCTCATCCAAAGGGGATTTCAATTCAAACATTTTGGTATAGCTCAGAGAAAACCCTAACCTCCTGGACAACTGACAGATTTTTACATAAAGTTTAAATATTTAGAGGCTCAGATACTGAGGAGCATGGCTGCAGCTTCTCGAGACAAACCACAGTAAGTGATGCAGGTACATTTAACACGTTTCGGACGTGAGTGCAGATTGTTGATTTTCGGTGTCAGTTATAGTTGTGCTTAAAGACACTGACATCCATTCAGTGCTTGTAATGGATCCCAAACCCGACATGAACCACTGTTTGAGTCGAGCGTGGTGAATTGATGTGATGTAATGGTGTCATTTTAAATAGGTTGTGATAAGCTTATAGCTCTGAATATTATGGCTCTCTGTCAGTGACAGATGCAACAGGACGTTTATGAACTGCTGAATGCGCACACTTGTTATGCTATACTGTATAAATCATCAGTTGCCTCCAGCTAAAACAAGATGGTCCAAGTTTATTGAGATCGTTGCATATGGGATCCTGCAATCACGTCTGCACGTGATAGTGAACAAAAGAGATAGGAGCGAGGGAGCACATGTTTCTGTCACTAATCCAGTCACTTTGAATGCTGCAGTATTTTCAGTATCCCCCCCCCCCACGTCTTCATTTCGATGCCTCGGATAAAGGGTGTGCTAGAGGAAGGTCTCACTTTCAAACGTGCAAAGAGGGATCCACACCACACAGCAGCTTTTCCACACGCAGTATCTCTGCTGTGAAAAGAAACAGCTTCTCAACGCTGAATGCAACCTTTACATTTCTGTCTCATCACTGAGACGATAACAGGTCACTGAAGCCTCTGGAACAGAATAATGTACTCTGACAATTGTCTTGTTTGGTATTTGAGAGTCTTGAAATCAGTGGGTATTGAACTCAGTATGTGCAGCCGTATGTGCAGCCACCTATTTTCTTTTAAGAAAATAGGCGGCTAAGAGAAATGGTCTGTAGTCATTTTGTAGATAAAGATACAGTCGGCACGCTTTATAATTACTACCAACAAGGAAACAAGGTGAAAGAATGTGGTATAGGTCAGGGAAGGATCTGGATCAGGGGGCAGAACCACAACATTTCTTTTCACCTTCTTTAACTTTTTTTTTGTCTTTATTTAAAAATATATATAATTTCTCTTTTTTCCCAGAGAATAATTCATGGATCTTGATGACAAAACATTATACATATTTAGTGGACTGAATGTAAGAAGTTTGGTGTGGCTGGATTGAATTTAAGGGGCCAGTTTGGCCTCTGTTGAGGTATTGCATTTTGGCAAGTATCAAGACAAATTTCGCTTTCTTCAACACCCCCCACCCCGACCCCCCCATTGATCTTGATGGGAAAAAAAACTAATTTAGAGAACTGATATTTGAGTGTGTGCAATTTGGTGTAGCCTGATTGAATTTAAGGGGACTGCTGGGCCTTGACAGAGGTATAAGTTTTACTGTCACTGTTTAATGCACCGTCTCACCTGTGGGACGCTTTGGCCTTGATGGGGATGCTTTAGGTGTGTTTTGGTCTGTGCTGGACTCAATCTTCATATAATCTTCATATAATTGTTTGAAAACTGAGTCCTCTGATGCTTGATTTTATACTAACTTTGTATCACTGCAAGTGGTTCAGTCTTGTGGATAGCTCCAAAATGTTCTTCACTCAAGAGGCACAAATAGAAGCCTTATGATTGCTTTTTATTCCCCAAAAAGAATGCAACTAAAATTGCACCATGTTTGGGCCTCTCTAAACTTGCTTCAGTATCTTTTACACTCATCCTGACGTTTTGGTTGAGCTACCTTTCAATAGAGTGCATTAGGGTGCATTGTTACCGCTTGTGGTATAAAAACAGAAGTCAGTGTTAGAAGTTGAACTATTTTCACAGCCCCAGACAAAGTTGCTGAAAAAGAAGAACTGACTGATTCCTCTTTCCAGAGCTGGACTGCAGATTTAACCACAAGCACATTTGGTTTTTATTTTATTTTTGATCCATCATATTGCTGGTTTTTAAGAAATTACATATAACGGGGTCAAAGTGAGTGTTCTCCATCTGACGAAGGAGTAGCAGACAGAGAGCGTGGCCAGCTCACACTAGGGTGTCTGTTTGCAGTGTGCTCCTGACAGTTTGGCTCGAGTCAGTCTGTTTTCCCATGGGAAAGTGCAGGAGCTCAGAGCCACTGCCCTGACCTTGGAGAGAGGCTGGGGGCCAGCCACATCAACCTGGGGCAGATGTTCCGGTTCATGCGAGCCCCTGCCTGCCATTACTGTGCCCCTAGGGACGCACACACAAACACACACACACACACACACACACACACAAGCACACATTAGAAAGTGTGATGTGCTTCCACCACAGTGTGATTACTGTATGTGATGTAGCTAATGAAAATACATTTTAAAACTCTCGTTGAATGTGATGATTTATTTACAGGGTACTTAAGAATACCAGATGTGCATGAGACTGAGGTTATAGTTTATTTTCCCTTTTGTAAGACCTCATCACACTACAAGTCTTTCGCCTTCTCGCACTTTGCTGTAAAGGGTTTGGTGTCATATTTAACAGCCAAATACTATTTCACATGCAAAGAATGTGAGGTCATAGAAAAGATAAAGAAGTGTGATGTTTGTTTCTAACTGAGGGTGCATGTGTAGGTGATTTGACAGCCAAGAACAAACTGAAAAGCAGCAAGAGTCCTTGTGCATCATGTCCATCTATAGTGTACTGGTTTTACTGGAGCTGGTCGAAACTGTTGGCAAAAGAACATTCCACAATTCATTTGATTGCGTGAAGCACATGATAAATCTCACATTTTAAGATTGCTTCACCGTTTCTTACATTCTTTAAAAGTTTGTTTCTTCAAAACTCCACAAGGACACAAGTGGCATTCTTGGGTTTAATGATCAACCAGTGGAAAAGGTGTCAATGTCACTGAAACACATTGCAGGCAGACTCCGTTGAAGGGAACAAACGGTCTGATGGATGAAAACACAATAATGCACTTACTGTAGCTACTTAAATATGGTTCACTGTTGTACTTAAAATCCAATCAAATATTCCTGCACGGTCTCTGAAGAATAGCAGATGCTCCTTCGAGGGGACTCAAAAGAACTGGTAGATTGTTTTTGCATGAAATACAAACTACAAAACACACAGAATGCGTCCATTGATGAATGGCTGATTTTCATTACTAGTAGTAGTGGTAGTTTTCGAGCAATCACAGCAGTATGAGTGTAGCCTGAAAAAGAAGTCCAGACTGGTATTTGCTCCCTCCCGGCTCCTTCTCATGTGCCGCTGTGTGTCTCGACAAGACGTATGCATTCCGTCAGTGAGAACACAATGCCTTATGTCACTAATGATGCTGCTGTTGAATATTTAGAAATTGGCATTTATCATCTTCAGATTTTATGACGTTAAACACTTTACGTATAAAAAGAAGGTTTTTTTTAGTATCTTTGTAATTAGACATTTTAATCAATGATCCTCTGTCTGTTTCCAGGATATGAAAGAGTTTCTCATTAACTGGAGATTATTCCCTTCAGTGGCATCTCACGAGTTTGGAAATATGGTACTGATCTTTTCTTAGGAAATGTCTGACAAGCACGCTGAGCCCCCACATAACTTCAGCTTTTGAAGAAGAGAGATCTGGAGACGGTCAGGTCAGAAACTTGTGGTATTTTAAGAACTGAATGGAAAAACTAAGCAACCTTTTCCTTTCAAGCCAGAGAACTGAAAATAGCTTGTGAATGATTTAGACCAGAATATGATACTGAAAAAAACAAGTCATTTTTTTATTACATTTGCTTTTATATGGTAATTTGGGATTCATTTTAGGGTTGTTTTTGTTATGGATGAACAGATACTATTACTAATTGATTAACTGAAATTACCACCAAATAATAAAAATGATTTGTATTAATATAATCCATCCATCCATTATACAATTTATCCTTTGAGGGAACAGGGAGCTGGAGCCAATCCCAGCTGACATTAGGTGAGAGGCAGGGTTCACAGGTATTGCAGGTACTGTACAATATTTAGTATTGTAGAATATTTATTAAAATGGCTCCTCAAAAAGGAATCACATTCAGGTATCAAGAGCAGATTGATAGCACTTATATCTTTAATCCCCACAGAGGGTACCTGCCATGCTCCTAACACCCTGCAGAGCTGCAGACCACACCCAAAACCTGGTGTCCAGAAACTGTGGCCTCATCTGCTGCACAACATGATAATTAACCCAATTAATCATGCTTTTGTTCTATTTCCTCTTTGCTGTAATATAACAACATTGGCAAATTGCAACAGAAAAGAGCTTTGGGATTGAAGTAGTTTGGTGTCTGTTTCCCTGCAGTTTTAACTCTTGATACTGGGATGTTTTGTAAATTATATTTATGTCCGGTTGTATGAAGCTGATGAACACTTTGAATTTTTAATTGTAGTTGTCAACAGATATATTTCCTCTTTCCTAATCCCTTTGCAGCAGCTCTCAGCAGAGAGGGAGTGAAGTCCGTTATTTGCTCCATCACTCAGGTTGTAAGTGTAGAGTTTGCTGTGTAATGGGAAGACATAGCCGGACATGATCTGCACTACCCACAAAAATGAATAGATTGCTGATCTGGCGTGCGGGTGCAGTGAAGCAGAGTGGAACCTAAAGTGCTCGTCTGCCCGTCGAGCCGTGTCCTGCGGGAGCTCTCTCTTACCAGCAGGTGGATAAGAGACCCACTGTGGGCTGCAGATGGTGCACGGTCTGCATGGGTTGGAGGAGGGAGACATGGGTGGAGATAGGCTCGCACAGACTTCCTCCGCCCCCCCCATCTCCAATCGACCCACATGATTCAACTGCTGCAGAATGATCCCCAGTTGTAAGGGCTGTAGGGAGGGAGGTGGGGGAGTCATCTGTGTACAGCTGGGCCACAGCATCAAGGGCCGGGCCTCAGGGAGAGGCAGAATTTACTCTTAATGGAAAACAAGTACACGTTGTGACCCCAGCATTGGTCTGTGCCCATGTGGTAATTTCAGTTTCCCTTAACCCCTCGACCTCTCTTCCTTTGTGCTGCTGACTGTGTCATGGTCTGCGTCTCACTTCTGCTTACTGGCTGCTGTCAGAGCTCTGACCACAGCTGCAGATTGAGGCCTGTCTGGTCTATTGTTGGTCATTTAAAGCTTGTCAGAAACAAATTATATCAAATGCACAGACACATGCAGTTTGGCTCTTTTCATTGGTGATATGAGCCTTTCACGTTTTTGGTATTGGTGTTGATGTTTACGTATATGAAAACGTTCGTTCTTCAGAATAAAAATGCTGAAACTAAGTTTATAGTACATGTTTTTTTTTAAATATTATTTTAAAAATCTTTACATTTTTGACCATTTATGTTTTCTTTTTATCTGTAGTAATTTATAATAAGGTTAATGTTTAAACCGTAAAATATCAAGCCTCAATACATTTGTCCAATTATTATATATATCAACCGATTTGGATTTTTTACTCCTGAATATGGGTATATCCAAATATTCATATTTCAGATTAATGTATTAGGATAAATGTCCCAACATATATCACTTAATAACAAAAAAGAAATACAATAAGAATAAGAAATATAATAAGTCATTACAGCTCTGAACAGATCAGAGGGTGTTTACTTTCAGTAAAGCCTATACGCTGCAGCGTAGTTATTTGATAAAGGGTGGTAGTGAGATGTAATTGCATTCATTAAGGGGCTAGAGGTTGCAGTAGTGTGTCCTTTTCCAGCGGGGACGGCTCATGATAGGTGGGACAGAATAATTGAAAGCTCATTGTGTTTGTCTACGCTGAGCAGCTCCTCACAGGTCGGCCTCTAATTACTGTGTCACCCAGAGATAGACACACACGCATACACACACACACGCAGACACACATCAATTAGAAGCAGCTGAATCAATACGTGTCTGGAGGTGAATATATTTAATTTGTAGTCTGCCTCTAGTTTGGCTGTAAAAATAGCAAAAACCATCAATATTCTGTTTGTTGTGTCTGACTCCATCTAATTTATATCTGGAAGTAGGAACATCACAGCATTAAAACATCTGACTGCGGACGAGGGGCTGCAAGCCTCCAGACTTCAAGATATCAGATGTCGTAGAAAACATTTCGGATAAAATTTTAAATTACTTTAAGATTTAAATGAATGGGGGAGAAATAAGAGCAGCTGAGTATCAATCTTCACCATTGGTATCTGCTTGAGTGCTTCTTCGCTTTGACGTTCTCGGGCAAGTGCCTGTATGTAAATATTTTATCATAGGAGTCACATGCAGATTTGAGGCTGTGCTCATTTTCATTCTCTAGAACAGGGACTACATTCGTAAACTTTTTGCCAAGTAGAAGTACCCACTTTTACCTGCAGGGCATTGATTTAACAGCAAATTGGCTTCAGCAGTAAAGCAGAGCACAAGAATTTTAATTAGATGCAAACACTTTTTGTATATTTTTTGTAAATTTTTGTAATGTATTTTTCTATCCCTTTAAAAATACATGCTAATGCTAATTACTGACATTCAAGGATATTCATGGTTCATGGTCCCCAGTTGATTGACCTTACTGACCCTTTTGAAAAAATATTTGAAAATGTTAACTTGTTAACATGCTAAACTAAGATGGTGATTAAGGTGTAAAAATGCATACTTCACGTAATTAAATTAAAATGAGTTACAATGTAGAGCTCAGAAAAATAAAATAGCTAAATACATTTGTACATATAGAAGGTATAGAAAATATTTCCCTGCAAATTTCCTTTAAAAAAAAAATTCTTCTATTGCTCACAGCCTACCTTTCAAGAAATAGGAATTGACATAATCACTTTCCATCCATTCATAGAAATCTACATTCATTACTGTGCCACTCCAGTGAGATTGATAATGACAACAGTGGGATCTCATCACCAGTAATAAAAACGTCAAGGCCCAAGATTCTGGTGTTATGTTAGACCAGTGTTCGATGAAGAGGCACTCCCACTGCTCTGTCCCAGAAACATATTGATCAGGCAAGCCCGTGGCTACTCATGCCTGAAGGAAAAACAGTGGACAATGTCCAGATCCTGTAAGGTTAATGTTTTTTGTTTGTTCAAAGTGCAAACACTTTATCCGCATCTGTCTCTCCACCTTGCAGATTTGTCCAAGAATCGTCTGACAGAAATCCCTCCAGAAGTGTGTCTGTTTGCCCCCCTCGAGTCACTCATTCTCTACCACAACTGCATCAAGTGTGTCCCAGAGGCTATCATCAATCTGCAGATGCTGACTTATCTTGACATCAGGTGAGTCATTGCTAACACTGTTGGGAACTTAGTTTTGTATCTCTGAAGACCTGCTTGTTCCCCTTTCAGTGCAGCAATAGGGTGAAAATGATTTAATGTAAGAGAAGCATTTCCCCTTTTGCTGAAACTCAACTCCTAGACACCAGATTCTTGCTGTTATGCTTCTGAGTGCAGTTTTAAAAGTAAGTGGATGTTTTGTCTTGGTTTGCAGTCGAAATCTCCTGTCCGTTTTGCCAAAATACCTGTTCAGCCTCCCTCTCAAAGTTCTGCTTGTGAGCAACAACAAGCTGGTTTCCATCCCCGAGGAGATCGGCAAGGCCAAAGAGTTGATGGAATTGGTGAGTGAGTGTGTAAAGACTTGTGTGTGCGTGTGTGTGTGTGTTGTGCAGCCAGGACAACCCCTTTTCCTACTCTTTGTCTCATCTTGCAGGACGTGAGCTGCAATGAGATCCAGGTTCTGCCAGCTCAGGTGGGAAGGCTTCATGCCTTACGGGAACTCAACATCAGGAAGAACTGTCTTCACATGCTGCCTGAGGGTCAGTCTTTCATGTGTGATGTTCTTTGAAGAAGCTACATCATCTCATTTCTTTTTGAGGGATTGTAATTCCTCGCTGCCAAGAATCACATTCTCTACAGTTTTCTTGTTATTACAGCATGTCATGATGTAATTCAAGAAAAGTACAACAATTTAAAGCCACCCTTTCATAATTATGCCAGTAACACAATAAATCATGCAGCCTCTCATTGTGTTTATAATCTTTTAAGTGAAAAAGCTGGGGGTCCATGGCTGTGTGCACCGTTATTGCTCAAGTGAATTTACCAAGCTTGACCTCTGTATAAAAAAGAAATAAACCCTGTTCACACCCGATATTAACATCCATCCTGACTGATCTCATCACAAATGCTCAGTGCTAAGTACAGGTTTTAAATGTGTCCTGAGATCTGACCACTCGGTCTTTTCGCTGCATGAACATAAATGTTTCCTAGGCCACGTATGAAGCATAGCCTCATCAGCTGACGTCTATGACCCGCTACAGTTTAAACATTTCTTCGCACTCTTCTGTGTTAATACTTTGATTTGTTCCCAGCCACCGCCAACACTGATCATAATATAATGGCTGATACTTTTCTTAAATTGGTAAAAGTCTTTCTTCATTGCAGAGCTGACACAAAGACTCAACATTACGACAAGACACACAAACATTGTCACCGGACACATCTGTAAACTCAAACTGGGTAAAAACAACATAATTTGACCATAGGAAACACAAATGACAGTTGTGTTTATTTGCATGTTGAGCGGGGAAGTGAGACCCTATCACAAATGTGTCACATTCAGGATTCATTCTAATTCCTGGTGTGAAGAGACAAACTTGATGTTGACCACTTGGGACCGGATCTCTCACAACAGATGTTAATACCTGGTCTGAACAGGGCCACAGAGGCAGTCGCAGATACTTCTTCCCATTTATTTTGCATGTATTCGAATTTGAGTGAATTCAAAAACTTTGTTTGACATGATTGGACCTTTTAAGTGGAAGATGGAGCTCTGAGACTGAAAAATCTGCATTAATAACATTTTTGGAAACGAGATTCGGGCATTTACCAGGTAAGAAGAGGCTAGTTACCTTGTTGTTAGCAGGGCATCACATCCATCCAAAGCCTCTTGATAAAACTATCGCCTTATTCATTCTTGCAGAGCTGGCTGACCTGCCCCTCATCCGACTTGATTTCTCCTGCAATAAGATCACAGAGATTCCTCTGGCCTACAGGAAACTCAGGCAGCTGCAGCACATCATCCTCGACAACAATCCTATGCAGTCTCCACCTGCACAAGTACGTGCAGTCACTTGGATTTGAAGTATACATGTTGTGCTCACTGTTATAGAAGTTTTCTGTAAGCTGGTGAAAGGAGAACTCAGAAGATTTGAATGTAAACTTGATGCATTAAGGAGACCAGAAGGTGGAACAATATACAAATGCTAACAGAGTAACATGAGCAACTATCACCCCCAAGTCTGAAGATGTCTCCTACAGCATCCCCATATATCTCCCTCTACTGTTTCACCCATTCTAACAGCACATCAATGAATGGCTAGAATTGCTGTCACTCTCTATGTTACATGTAGGTGTTTGCATCCTATTGGATGCTGGTGTAATACGCAAAAAGTTGAAGTTTGTGCCTCTCTGTCTGGGGCATCTGAGTTAGATATGAAAGTCCCTAAGCGTAGACACTTATACTGTTGGTTGGTCCTTTATCTATAACCTGACCTTGTGTACTGCTTAGAGAGAGTGGAATTAGTCAGGCACTCTTCTCTTAATGGTGTACTGATATAATGTAATATGCATTATATATACATAATACGGTATATAGGGGCATGTACAGTAATGTGTGAGGATATACTAAAATTCCTCAACACTCACAAATGGGGTTTTCTGGGTTTACTGTAGTGTGGTTAAGTTGACAGAATTTTGTGTCCCTCACGTTCCTAATAAGCCTGGTACAATTTCACCATCTAGTGGAGGAATTCATGTATTTCTCACAGTAACTCACTTTTTCTGTATGTTTGTGTTTCAGATTTGTCTCAAGGGCAAAGTGCATATATTCAAGTACCTGAACATCCAGGCGTGTAGGATGGATAAGAAACCAGACACCCTGGACCTCCCCTCCCTCGGTAAACGTTGCCTTCCACAGCCACTCACAGATAGGTACGGGCACCTGTTCTTCTGTTAGCAAGATTTCACAAAAAAGTAACTGTACAGATTACCAGGATGGTTTTTTTCTTTAACATTGCAAGTTCAGACTTATTTCTACGTCTTCTCTCATTTCTTAGCGAATAATTCATATATGAAAAAAAGCAGGCATGTTAAGGGAGAGAAAATTTATGAGTGTGCATATCCACATAAAAATCATTATCTAGTGAATTTAGATGTGGTTTCATGAGGGGACTGTTGGGCCTTGGCAGAGATATGGGCTCTTCTGAGCTAAATGATAACTAGATCAATCTTTTTATCACTTCTGCTCCTTCAGTTGTGTTGTTGTATATTAAGTCTGCATGCATTTGTTCGTGTATCATATCTGCAGTAGTCTAGTTATGTGTTTTCATTATATTATGCAATCAAACGACATCTTATCAAGTGCATATGCAAATAAGATTTTTCTCAAGCACTGCGATGCACAGGAGACTAAGTGAGCTGTTTGTTTTGTATATTTCCAGCATAGAAGATATTTACCCCAGTAAGAACCACGGGCCTGACTCTGGAATTGGGAGCGACAACGGTGATAAGAGGCTGTCTACAACAGAGGTCAGTGTTTAAGCACACAACATTCACTTGTCAATGCAATGCATGACCAGTTTGAGGTACATACATTTCAAACTATACCCTGTGGAATTCTAGCAATGGGACACAAACACAGACTTTTTAGATGAAGGGATAGAAGACAGGGGTGTCTTTATTTGACTGACATTCAGCCTCACAGTCAACACCAGAGAAGAAAAACCTGTTCATAAAAAGGATGAATGAGACTGAATATGCTATCGGAACCACGCGGTGCACAAAGTGGCAAAAAGGAAGCTCCTTGAGGTCGACTGCTGGACAGATGAGGAATAAGGGAGTTTAGATTGATGAGCCGTGTGTATGTGGGGGAATCAACCTCTGTGCCAGACACAGTTAGTCTCCCTCCTGCTGCTGAGCAATACCTGTAGAGACTTAATCTAGTGAAAAGTCTCTAAATCCTCGAAGTCAAGTTCAGATGTATGAAGTGGTCTATAATTTTGGCAGGAAATGGAAACTGATAATGACAGCTCATGTAGTAGTGGATTTAGATTTAAATGTTGCTGTTTCTGCACAATCGTAAATATAGCATAGATTGGTTTAAAATAACAATCGTGTGCAAATATGTATATCTTAATATCAGATGGTGGAGTTCAATCCTCATTTTTTTCATCTCCCGCAGCCTTCAGACGACGACACCGTCAGCCTGCACTCCCAGGTTTCAGAGACAGCCCGTGCTGACGCCCTCTCGCTCCTCTCCAAAATGGACTCTTGCAAAGGTTACCCAAAATAAGTATCACACATTGCCTTTGAAAGCGATAGCAGAGACTCGGGGTTGTTGAATGAAGTGCCTGAAATGTGACAGTTTATTTGATCAACGCGGATGCTTCCTCCCTCTATCAGATCAGGATCTCTATGACTTTATAGATCCCAACCCTGATGAGGAGCCTGCTCTCTCAGAGTGTGATGGGCAGCAGAGTCATATGTCGTGTATAAAGGTAGGAAGCTATCTATCATGCACACACACACGTGGAATATATATTAGGTCAGCATCTGGGAAAAGGATTATGACAAATGTTAAATATGTGTGACTGTGTGTGTTGTAGGAACTGGAGAAAGTTCTTCACTTGTCACAACAAGGCAAAGATAAAGACAGCTGGAAAGAGGAGTCAGGGTGAGTTTATTATCAGTCAAATGAATGAATAGCTTCTTTGAGCTTTAGTTGTAATAACAAGCCATGACTGTGAAATGCAAATATGCCAGTCAGCAGAAATAACAAAAATAAACAGAAATAAAAGAATCATTGTGCTATGAATTGAGCGGTTTTTACTGGGGACATACCTTCTACAATGTGTCCTTGTACAGATTATCAGACATCATTAGAGATTAAACTGCCAAATATGCCACATAAATAAATTAGGATTTAACTCTTTACCTTGAGGTGTATTGAATTTTTTTGTTTTGTGATATGGTGTTGATGCAGAACTTCATTGAATTTGGGCCAGATTGCTGTATTTTGCTGGCAGGTTGTGTACTGTCTGTGATGGCAACACCTTTGACTTCATTGCAGTTCTGACAAGGAGCAGCTCGTTGAGGAAGAGGACGATGAGCTGAAGGAGGTGCTGGATTTGAGGAAGATCGCTGTTCAGCTTTTGCAGCAGGAGCAGCAGAATAGGTGCGTGGCTCTCACTCCCTCTTCCATCACCTGATACTGAAACACTGCACATTAGTTTAGCACTTCATTCACTGCACTGCTTAAATCCACGTTTCTTCCAATGCTCTCTCCTTCCTCCTCATCGTGTAACATGCCCCCCCCCCCCCCCCCCCCCCATGTCTGTGGGTTCATTCTCTCGTTTCTCAATATCCAGATAGATGTTTTTTCTCTGTGTCCCCAAATATCGCCCCATCAGCCCCTATGTGACTTCTTTCCCCCACATGCAAATCAAATTCTTATCAGCTTTACTTCACTCTCTCTTTCTCTCTCTCTCTGTTCACTCCTGTCCTCCCCTGATCATCATTTGTTCCCTGCTCTCTCCCCTGACTCGGCTACCGCACATTTGATGTACGGCTTCTAGACGGCGATCCTTAATTTGCAGAGCAGAGAGTCTTATTCACCGACGGAGAGTAACTGGCCGGGCACACAGGTAGAGGCGGAGATTTTCTCTATTGTCATTTACCGACAGTTTGTGTGTCACATGGCTGAAACATGCTATTGCTCACATTATTCTCTGGTGTGTTTATTTGTCTTCTTCATCAACCACAGTATTACGTAAAGCTTTAAAAAAAAAAAATCTCATGCATGCATCATTTGGGTTTTCTGGTCATTTATGACTTAGTGTTCTGTGTCACCATGTTTGGAATGTGTGTGGAATTTGAGAAGTGCTGTGTGACTCACTGCTGTTGCTAAAATGATGCCTAGCATGTCGACAGACACCTTGTCAGGCCGGCGATATTCATAAACACGTCTTTGTAAGAATCCAGACGGAAATGCACCGAGTCATTGTTATTATAAGTTACTGTGTTAAAAGAGTTTTGTACCTGGAACTGAATCTCTGTTTTTCTGCAGGTTTCTAAGTCACTCTGGAAGTTCCAGCAGCAAACCAAGGGCTCCGCCTCAGACAACTCGAAGGTAAGTAGTAAATCACACCTAGTGCAGCACAACATGTTCAGTCCCACTCAACAGACGCATTTATAGTGGAATGCATGTTGGCATCAGGTGATGATTCCATTAGATCATGATGGTGTGTGGCTCTAGGCTCAAATGACAGCTCAGTGTACCATACACAAAGTAAAATTGTATAATATGCTACTCTAAATTAAGTGGTTGCACCAGATGTGATTATTGAATTTATGTTTTCTCACACTGTATGAAGTTGAAAGACAATAAATAAAATGTATTCACAGCATTACTTTGCAAAGCATCCTGTGGTGGAAATTTATCTGGAGATGTGAAATAAAGAGTTTCTCAGACCGGAGTTATCTTTGGGTCTTCAATAGAGCTCTGCAGAGGGTTTCATTCTCAGAGTGGAACACCTGGAATTGTGAAAGGAGAAGGTTTTTATAGAGTTGGGTAAACAGGAAACATAGGAGACAACCGTTTCTGAGTAATAGCATGAGAACTGAAGCCAGCTGTAGTCTAGTTACTTACGCCAGACACTTCCTCTTATGCAAGCACAACTGTTTCTATAGAAGGAGTTATTGTAACACATCACACAAGATCAGACATAGGAAAGAGCTCAAGCTAAACTCGTGCAAATTTTCATTACAATCCTAATCTGACAATATTCTTTCCACAAATGCTTAAAGTGTTTGCACAGTACAGACATATGAAGTATATTCTCCTGACACCCAGATGAAGAATAGGTGTTGTGTCTTTCTTCTAGTGCTTCTCTGGATGAAGGAAGCAGTGGAGCGTCAGTGCTGAGTGGACAGGTAAAAACTCTTTTTCCTCCTGTGATGTTTTTCTCTCTGGAGAATGATTCTTATTTTTAACTGTCTGCTTTTGCAGCCCTCGTCTTCCTGCTCCTTTGACGGCAGCTTGAAGACGGATGAGTCAGACTCTGAGCCTAAGTGGCCCGAAGTCCCACCGATCCTCAATCAGAATGAAGATCGCAGGAGGAACAAGTACCTGAGAAAAGATTATCTCAAGGTATGAGCACCTAATTTGTGATTGGTAAAATGGAAACAGACAAACCTGATCAGTGGTGTGAGGCTAAACTCTGACTCTGGGATGATTAGTATCCAAGGCAGACATCTCAAAACAGTGGCCAATTAGAATAACATTAAGTAGAGCTCATGCCACCGCGACCGCCAACAGTCACCTTAAAGTTCCAGTGTGTAAGATTTAGGTGAAAGGGATCCTTCATGTTTGGAAGGGGAGGGTAAGGTCAGGGGTATTCAGCTGCAACATGAAACTTCACAAATAGATTTCACTAAATTCTACACACTGAACCTTTAAGTTCAGTCAAGCTGCACCAAATTATAGATATTGTTTTCCCAGAGGTGGCAAACGTACAGAAAAAAGGACTGGTAAAGGTAGAAGTACTGATTCAACTCCTTTACTCAAGTAAAAGTAAGAAAGTACAGGCTCTGAAATATACTTAAAAGTAAAAATGAATTTTTAACTTCAATGATACACTTGTGATGCAAAATGAAAAAAGTTGTAGGCAAACAAAATAGGATAGTTTTCCTCTTTTGTTAACAACCTGCACAGAGTTGGTACAGAGAAAAAAATCACTGGGCACAGTCTAGTTTTGTTGCCAAATTTCAGACAGAATAATAAAGACTGAACTGAACCGAGGTCCTGCATGAGCACCTGGATCATTCTAGAGGAAGTAAAAATCCTAACAAGGTTTCCGTAGGTGAACCTGAGGAAGGATCCAGTTTTGAGAATGTAAGGAGTAGAAAGTACAGATATTTGTGTTCAAATGTAGGGAGTAAAAGTAAAAAGTTGTCAGGAAAATAGACACCTGAAAAATCAACTTAAGTACAAGTATTTGTACTTCGTTACTTTATACCTTTTCCTAGTTTCCTAAATGTGCCAGATTTTTTTTCTTATAAAGATCCATGAATTACTTCCTTCAAAAATAGGGAAAATGTTATTAAAGGGGAAACAAAGATTCCTGGATCTTCCACATACCTCCACCAAATCAGTTCAAACACCAAGAAACAATTTTACTGAAGCACAAGTAGGCACAGGGAAAAAACATTTATATCAGTGGTGTTAAAACATGCATAGCTCGATACAATCGCTGGTGGGAGAGAACAGATAAGAAAAGGCCCAGGACTAAGACAGTTATTTAATTCAGCCATACATACACGCAATGTGGGATTCCACTGCCAACATATTATTAGTCATTATCATCTCCCCCATATCATGTATCATCAGTTTATAAAATATATGAAACCATGAATAGAAATTAAAAAATAGAACTTTTTTCAAATCATGGAAATAATTTATTTTACCTATTCCTGACAGTACAAGTGTCAGAGTTCTCGGAAAAGCTGCGGGAACGAGGACTGTGAGGTAAGTGTGTGTGTAAGTGTTTTACAATCACAAAAAAACCCTCAGTAAAATGAAATAGTGCCCTTGACTGATTATAATGAATGTGTTGTCTCCAGGAGGGCTTGCGTAACGCAGACTTCAGCACCACTTTAACAGTGTTTGGACTAAAGCCAAGATCAGGTAATAAGATTTCGCTTGTTTTACTGCTATTTTTTCAACTTTATTGCTGTGAGGTTTCCTGTTCACTGGTATCAACAGGACTCATGGCTATACACCCTTATCTTTCAAACACATGGGGAATCGTGAGAAAATTCCTGACAAGCTTCAAAGTCCATGCCTGTTTACAAGAGATTTCCAAAGATTTCTGAAACAGAAACTAAACACACAAGACTTAAGTAAAAAATTTAAAATTGCTCAATCTCAAAATATATTTTCCCAGCAGTTGTGTATCTTTTACTATCTTTACAGCTAAATGTGTGTTTTGTATATATTGACCCATTTTTAACCCAAGGCTCATGAACTCTTTCCTCAAAACAAAGCCAAACAAAGGCAAATTAATGAGGCGGAGCAGCAGCATCCTTTCTCTGGAAGTAGGGACGTTTTCTGAGGAACTGAGGAGTTATAATAAGTAGTGCATTGTCGGTAAATGACAAGCCTGAGCAGGACTTGTATTTTACTGTTGTGGGTGCGCTAATTTAACATTGATTTATAACAACTTATCTTATGCCATAGTACATCAAATCTTGATTGAAAACAATTAATTTCAGCTGTCAAATAGATACCATACAACCCCTTAAAATGCAGTGAACTGCATATAATTCAATTTCAGTTCAATTTTATTTGTATAGCGCAAAATCATAATTTATATAAATTATCTCAAGGCACTTTACATAGAAGGCGGAAATACCTTAAAATCATATTAATATAGAGAAACCCAACAGTTCCCACAAAGAGCAGCACTTTGGCGACTGTGGAGGAAAAACCCTCATTAATAGGGGGAAACCTCTAGCAGATCCAGGCTCAATGTGGGTGGGTTTTATGTTGACATATGAAGATGATCTCTCAAAACCTTCTAATGTTTTGATATGTGTTGTGTTTGGAACAAGTTAAATTAACTGTGCATCCTGCTGAGAAAACCTTTTCTTCTCTGTCTGTAGGGCTGCAGCCTCAATTTATCTTTAATCAAAGAAGAAAAAGCATCGTCTCAGTGAGAATTGTGCTCATAAGATGTTTGAGAAGATGAAGTTAAGAACCGTTTGGTCGAGTAGCAGTGTCACTGTGAATCTGGTTTAATGCCATATATAAAAGGAAGTTGAGTCACAGAATGTGTTGCCATTTTAATTAAACCATTTACAAGAGGAGACTTTGAGAATTGTGGGAAAATAACTGACTTGTCCTATGGGGAATTCGTAGGAAAAAAGATTTGGCTGCATTTCCATGTGCACTACTATCCTGCTTTTTATCAGGTCTTTCAAGAATCCTGTTTTTGTGGTTAAGCTTCGGCTGCATATCTTCATCCACAGCGGTGGCAGTGACAGAAGGACACCGGCCAAAGTGTTTCATATTTACTGTCAGTCTAGTCTCCCATTGCTGGCACTGAGGTGGATAAGCCAAATCTGCAACACGATGGAAAATGCAGTGATATTTCTTTCCTCTTTGTTTCACACCCTTTTGTATTTAACAGAAATAATATCCAGATGCATTGTTTGGTGCTTTTGGCCTAATGAATGCATACCAGCTCTCTTTGTTTTTGCCCCATCCTGAAGCAGATGGTGGATCTGCTGTTATAGTCAGTAATGGCTATCAAACAAAGGATGTTTGCCTCTGTGTATTTCGCTGTGCTTTATCAGAAATGTATTCTTCCAGCCTTCACCAAAGGAAGTCGGCAGGAGTACAGCTCCACAGACCCCAGCTTCACTATAAGGAGGAAGATGGAGCACTTGAGAGAGGAAATGGAGCAGATAGGACTCTTGCGGCAGGTCAGAGACCTCACGGCTTGTTTGTGCTATTTGCATTTTCTGAAAGCAAATGTGTCACTCGAATACCAAAGCTTGTCAGATCTGGTTTTTGTCCCAGTGTTTATACCTTTCAGTAAATCTGATGTCCAGACACAATGTGCCATTGCGAAAGTTCTCTTTTAGGAATTCAAATGTTTCACAACTTCACATGATGTCCTGGTGAAGCTGAGTCATAATCTTTTTTCCAAACAGTAGCTGACACATCCCACTTTGTTTGGCCTCTGCAGTAGAGCATATTCTGCTTAAAGTTTTCTCAACTTCCACACACTGCCTGAGCATGGAAGCAGGGGTAATTCAGATATTATAAAATATTAACAATAATATGACAACATGTTAAGAATTTCAT